TCAATATGACAAAATGCAATCAAGATCACATCTAAAAGGAAACTTCACAGTATGATGAAATAATTTGAACATGCACTGAAAATGAATGAACTACATGTATATGAATGAACAGAACCCATTATTCTGTGAGCAAATAAAAATAGATTTTGGTCTTTCTGGTTATATAGGACACAGCATAAGATATGTGATGTACAAAAGCAAAATGCAAACCACAGGCCAGTTATCTTTTATATTTAATTTTGAAGCACTTTTTTCTTTTGAGAAGGCATATTGCTGCACTACTACCCCAGTACTATTTTTGTAAAATTGATAGTACATTTGCAAAGGTTGAGAGAGTTGCATGATTAACAAAATTGCTAGGTTGGTTAATGAATAACAAATGAAAATATGAGTCTAACTCTTGCGTTTTGGTTTGAATTTTAAAGAATGAAATCATCTAGCAGCCTAAAACCAAGGAAAAAAACATGCACCCAAAATGGGATATATGTTTAGTTTGTGAAGAATTGCACCAGTAAATGCAACATCTGCATTTATTACCACCCACTAGCATTGGCCTTAAATTATCAGAGCCTTGACCAAGTACTACATCAATTTATTGAATGAATGGCCGTTTTTGGCCACCCTTTAAAGAAAACTAACAACAAGAGAAATATGAGGGGTGACCTGCATATGAAAATGGTAGTTGCTAGCTGTTTGCTGACCTCAGTACTTTAAATCACTGACCCGAAGCAAAGTATTCAGAAAAGCAAAATAAAAGCAAAGTCAGGACACCTTTTATTCATTCTTCTTCCTGATTAGTGGCTAATAAAGCACTAAAGAAAGCAGGTCAGCATTATAAGCAGGCAAAAACCATTTTTGGAGGAAGTTGTTACCAATGGCAGCCTCTACTTTTCTTGCATGATAGTTTACTTTTATAGCAGATCTCCAGCCAAAAAGCATTAATAAGTAAAAAACAAAATCAGCTTTTGCTGCAACTTTCATCTTGATTCCAGAGCACTGTTCCATAGTGCTTTTTTTCTGTCACAAGATGTACTCACACTTATAGCAGGGATTATTCAATCCCCTTCCACTGAGCCCAGGTCATCCTGTCATTGGAAAGTGAAAGAAGAAGCGGGGAGGTGATGAGCTCACTTCTCTTTCATTCTCCTTTCTCTTCCTATCAGCATGTTTCTTGTCAGCAAATGAACTGATTAGCTCCTTGTACAGCTTATTCCTCTCACACTCCAGCTCTGCTGTACAGGAGACTGCAAGAGGCTGATTGCAGGCCAAATTCATATACTTACATTGCTTTCATCGACATATTATTGATTACTGAGCCACATTAAATTTATGTATTTTATATCTGCCTAGGGGTCAGCTTTTATCTGTCTTTTTACCTCCAACAAAACATTGACATATAAAAAATGTTAGAAGTACCATACAATTGATTTTTAAAATTAAATCAGAGTTCCACTCACTCTGTATCAAAATAAAGGTCAGCAGCTATAAAAACTGTAGCTGCTGACTTTTAAAAAACAGCCACTCATCTGTCCCACGATTCCCGCATTGCCCCCGCCGCAGCCAGTTTCACCGGCCGTCCTGTATTCCAGGCACTGGCATCTTCAATGTGAGCACCAGGCTTTGACAGCTTGCAGCTTCACAGCTAGGTGCCCACTATACATGAGCGAGTAGCGCTGCGCTTCCCGAATGGCCCGTTGCCTTCTGGGACCTGTCACGTGTCCCACAAGACTTCGGGGAGGGAGGGTAGGAGGACAACTTCCACTTACGATTGCCTAGGTGATCGCAGCGGAAGTGGGAGCTGGTACTTGTCAAATTCAGGTACCTGTTCCCCCCCCCCCCCCGCTCCCCAAAGGTGCCAATCCTTAATGGGGAGCGAGGGACCAATCTTTAAAGTGGAACTTCCCATTTTGGGTGGAACTCTGCTTTAAGTCACTTGATTATGTTATTCCTATTTTAAAAACATACAGCCTAGTACTGGGATTGTTTCAATGACTCAAATGTAAACCAGTCACATTATATCTGAAAGACAGTTGCTTTTCAAATCAAAAGCCACAAGGATGTATTGTGTGATCTATATACCTTTAATGGCAGGGGATGAGGCGTGATGTCTCTGAAAGTTTCTAACTTCAGTGCACAAATGTACAGAATTCCTTCTATTTTATTGGATTGTGCATTATATTTTATTGATAGTACCTGATAAATCAAGGAAGTTGGCTTCAGAAGAATAATGATAAGGTAATGCATGTTGATTATGGGTAAAGATTGGTAAAGAATGGAACTGCAGATTAAGGGTTCGTGCACATGGACATTTATAGGCATTTTATATGCCCAGCAGAAATTTCCCAAGTCTGGGAAGCCGCAGGTGCCACATACCTGCCATACAAAATTACTGTATGCAACTGTAGTCTTATAAATCCTTGCATGTGTGTATGGCATATCCCCAGAACACAAGTCTTCGGTGTTTGGAGATATGCCATACATGCATGCCAGGGTAAAAATCAATGCAAGAAAGCAACTGAGATTACAAGGGTGTGGCCACATACAGCCATTCACTTGTATATCAGACTTTTTGCAGCACCTGTGGCTCCTTGGATGCTCGAAAGCATTGGAAAATTTGTGCTAGGTATATGAAATGCCTACACATGTCCTTGTGCATTAACCTTAAAGACTTGCTTAGCAACTGAAGATTCTTATGGTTTGCTCAACCCTGTACAATATTTTGGACAAAAACTGTAAGAACCTGCAAAGAAATATCTTAATTTAAGGAAAGTATAAAACAATAAAAATAAAATCAAAGCAGTAGTTATTTAATATATAATGCTGAAAGGCACAATAAATGCTGACTAGTTTCAGTTATTACTCCATGTTAATTTAAGAAGCAAAGAAACATTTGAATGCAAAATGTAATGCAATGTTTTTAACAGTCTGATAAGAATCTACACAAATATTCATTTGGTAGAAAGGAAGCAAAAACATAGTACACCAGCACTAAAAGTTCTTTTACTTTGTTCCAGCAGCACAGAAGCACAAAACAATCAAGCTCCAATTTCACAAAGCACTGTTCGGACCATGTCTAGCCTTTTATCAAGCTAGGAGCAAATTAATATTTTCAAAGACCTGGGTGTGGTTATACTGCGTTTTTGCATGCTTGAGGTTCCTCCAAGTTGCCTAACGGGGTTCCATTGTGGCATCAGTCGCTGACTGAGCTGTATGTTCCAACAGCACAAGTACTTTTGTTAGCAAGGCACATAATGTCACACGAATAATTTGTTTGTGATTATAGCACGTATATGTACAAAACTTGCATAGGAATAAGTAATAGTTATGTTTCCCCATAAAAACAGGTCTGGTCCATTCTTATACTGTCTGTCATTATTCACCAACACATTTGAATGGGTTGCTGTGGGGTGATGCACAGACAGCTCATATCTAGACACTTTGTAAATGAGGTTAAGGTGCTAAGATTAATTCAAAGTCTAAATAGTGTGGACATTGAAGATGGTGGGTAGATGACCTGCAAAAGTGACAGGTGGTGAGGTATCAGCCCTGCATTGCTTGGATTCTCCTTACCACCACTACATTCCACTCCTATTAATGCTGTGATGTGAGCACCTACACAACCAAATCATTGCCTGAATCTGTCATAATGTTTGCCATTATCTAAATTAATGCATCATCATTCTAAGATCATCCTGAAACGTTTCTTAATAAAATGATAAGAAACACGATTCATGCAGACAATAGGAGTGTGTGCCTTTTATTGTTATGGATTAGTGAGATGTAAAAGAGTGAAAGATGTCACAAGAAGAGACATGTAAGAGTTAGTGTGCATTATATTACCCTCCCTGGTGGTATTCCCAAGTGTAGCTCGAGGTTATCAGTGATAAAAGCGGTAACCCCGAGCTCCAGAATCCCTGTTTCACTTACCTTGTCCTTCGTTCCCGAGATGTCCCCCCTACAGCGTCCCCGGCCATCTCATCTGTCATCTGTCTTCCGGGTTCCGGTCCCTGCGAGCGTCGGGACGCACAGGGGGCCAGGACAGGCGGGAAATTTTTACATTTTAAAAAGTGACATTCACGAAATACACTAAAATCACATAGTAAAACATTACTGTTTCAAGGCATTTCACATACATTTTGTCCCTAGTGCTTTGTCCTGTGCCCTGCCTGCATTTTTACCATTCTTTCTGCCTGGAAACTGAGAAATGTCCATGGCATCCAAAAAACATCCCTTTATGTCAAAAGCAGTTTTAGACCAGCTAGAGAACAGCGATAGTAAATCAGAACCACTTGCAGAATTGAGTGGTAATTCGTGGGGAAATTCGTCATCAGACACTGAAAACGATTTTGCGACTAAGCTCAGTGATGTGTGAACTTGGCGCTCTATTTCAATTTTCAGTGCTTTTTGTTTGATTACATTATTGAATTACATTTATTATTATATTATTATTTTTTATGATTATTTATTATATTATAATTTATGATTTCGGGTTTCAAATTTTATCATACCCGGGATGTTAACTAGACTCTTGTTCGGACAGATTTCAATGAGTTATTCCTACAAATTACAGGCCTACAATAAAAAACGACATATTTCCATTCAAAAAAAGTGCCGCTTTGAGCACAGAAATATTGATATATTCATACCACTAGGGAGGTTAACATACATGTTAAACAGTAAACTTAAATGAATAGCTTTGGGATAGATAATGATTACCAGAAGGAAACGTAATTTATATAAAACACACATAAAATATTCAAAGTCACCAAAAGCTTTAACATTTCCAATGCAATCAATTAGCTCAATTCTCAATCATCCACAAGAGGTCAACAAGCCAGAACGCTGTGGAGTGGATGATTGATTTATAAACATTTGCACAGTAAAATTATTGCATTAGTTCAAGAAGTACATGATTATGAAACACATCCCAGCAAACAGCATTTAAGAATTGCCTATTAGTACCTTGTGAGCGGTTCTTTTTATTTTTTAATATGTAGTTATCAACAGAAAACATCATGCGCCACACGACCCATTCCGTAAGAATTATAGAACTCTTGGTGGTTATTCCCTTAACGTAAAAGCAGATGGTTAGTTTTTCTTAGTCAAACACTTTGCATCAATTAATTTCCAAACTGTTTATAATAACGATGAAAGGCAAACTAGTTATTAGGGTTAGCAGTTCAAAAAGCAACAGCTGAGGTAGAGTGTCGTAGCCTGCAACAACCGGTCTCAAGTTGGAAACAGAATAACTTTGTTAAGATGCAGTGGATTATTTCACTTTGTTCACATCTCTTTGACTTACGGTAATTAGTCAACTTTTCTTTACATACAACTTCTATGCTATAAAATTGTGTGTATATATTCTGAAACTGATTGTTGCTGCCCCAATGACCTGGGCCTTGTGAAACAATATATGGTATTGTTGATGGTGAGTTACAGGATATGACAGGCTATTTATCTGAGACATTTATAGTCACATTTAAAATATAATGTTAATGATAGATTGGGTGAGGGTTAAAAAAATTCAAATAAATGGGATAAAAAAGAAACAGGTCCAATAAAGTAAAATGTATACCCTTAAACAAACTTATTAAGTTACCTACATTTTTATAGACAGTACAGTCCATAAATACTCTAAAGCATGCTTTAAAATTGATAGCTCTTTAACTTTCATAAGTAAGACGCTCTTTAAATGTCATGCCATGCATCAAATGCTGCTTACATTTTTACCAACCTTAAATGTTATGCCAAAGCTATTTTAAACTAGAATCTACTAAATTAGCGCACATTTCTGGAGCTGTGAGAATAGAATGCCATGATCGTGTACTCACTTTGGAAAAATCTAGGTCACAAAAGAACCTTTATAGTCTTGCATTTTCCTAGCAAAGATACACTAACAATGGCTTTCAAGCTGCATAATAATTCTTAAGATAAGCAGTTACTTGATACATGACCATGTGTTCCTCACACTAAAAAAGACAGATGCTGACATGCAGATTCCTTTATGGTCTTGCTTGGAAACTTACGCAGAGAAGAAGCAGTTGAGGTTCCCGCAGAAAGTTATGCAGACCATCTTCACTGTCACTTGTGCTGGCCATGCTGTTTCTCATCTGCATTACAGACAGCTGAGAGCACAGACTGGGCTGCCTGTCCATTTTCTTTGCCACCTAAACAGAAGCAGAAAACATTTTCAGTGAACTGTACTTTCCAGGCACAAACTGAATTACTGTGATATATATAGGAAATATAGCACTCTATACAATAGCTAGTATAACCTTGTTTTTATTCCCTGTGTAAAAGAATCAGCCTGTGCTGGTTTAAGAAATAATTGAGTCCCTGGAAAAAATTTAATTACTAGGACCCTCTCTTTATAGATATTAATATCTGAGAAAAGAGTGGAGTTTCAATGAATGTCAATGGGCAGCATGAGTTGCAAACAAATGGTCATATTGTGAAAACTATCAGGACTATGGCTTAGCCGTGGACATATTTAGTGGCAGCAGGGATAGCTGAACGTTTTGATATAAGATTTGTGTAGGTGGGCTTGAAAATGAGGGAGTGATGGCAGTTTAGAAATCATGTCCTGATTTTTCAGCTCACACTCTAGCTTTTGTCACCTCCCACTCTAGTTTTGAACATTCCGCCATTCATTCCTATGGGACCAATTTCACCAAACACCGATATTTCGTGAACCATTCGGCGAAACGTTCCACAAAGTAATAGCACACCAATCAGGAACAATCCGCACGTTTCCGTATATTACTGTCAATGTAGTGTAAAAACTGTGGGAGGAGTTAGGGTGGTAAATTTGGCTATAATAATAAGAATATATATGTGAAATAACAGTAAGTGGTCTTGCCATGCAAGAACACTTAATCATAATAATAATAATAATAAAAACATTTTTTACCTTAATGCTGGGAGTACATTATTTAAAAAATGTTTAGGCTCTATAAAAAGAAAAATGTAAAAAACGTTTTATAATATTATTTAAAAACCTAAATAACCTAGTAAGTATACTTATCAGCACTCTGTTTAGTTTATGAACATAGTGGTTTCATCTCTATGTTTCACTGTATATTTTTGCCAGTAGTGCTGTGGACCACCTTTACATCTGCTTTAAAAGTCAATTGCACTTTTGGCCCTATGCAATTCACTGGGAAATCAAACCTTGTTGGACCGCTGGAGGCCTTCATGAGTACGGATTTCCCATAGAAATAAATTGGGTCAGAATGTGTGTTCATTAAGAGCAAGACCAGGGAGCGACATATTCAGTGGTCAGGGCTGCACAGTGAAGATCCCTGAATCAAGCAGTGATTCAGTAAGTATTTCAGTTACTGAGCACTCAGGCAGTGGGGGAAATTTTATAAAGGACTATCAAATGTATTTTTGGTCCAGGTGAACACAAATAAATCAACACGTGGTTACAAACAAGATATAAAAAAGTTGATCTAATTGAAGATGTGCTTTCCTTAGTACTGATCTATAAAAGAAAACCTGCATGCAGCAACTTAAACATGTCAGCATAGCTGTTTTAAAGTGCAAGTTCAGTTTTACCAACATAGTTTGCTGAACCTAACTACCAGCCAGGGTTCCCTTTCTGTTTTAAACAACATAATTCAAAACTACATTTAAAAGAAGTCTCTTAAAATCCTCTGCAGCCTATGATGGCTCAGTTCCAAGTTATTGTAAGGATGGAGCAGCTGTTGGGACCTCCCCCCCCTTAGTGCCATAGGAAGGAGCAGTCCTGTTCTTTCGGCTACACATGCCCAGGGTAGACTCTCTCCTGTCGCAGCCACTGTGCAACAGGATGGGAGCCATCACAGGCCACAGAAAATATTAGAAATCTTCTTTTAAATCTAGTTTTGGACTTCATTTTCTAAACAGAAAAATAGTCCATGTTGGTAAGCACACTATGATGCTATGGGACAGCATACCAGCTTTTATTTCTAAAGCTGAATATACATACCTAAAAGCATTCTACAATGTGATAAGGCCTTGCTTGTGTCATTCAAATAAATGTAAATAGTCTTCTCAAACCAGTATAAGAAATATTCAACACAACCTTACCTTGTCACTTAATGTGGGGTCATTCAGGGAGTATAGCTTATTTGTAATGTCTCTCCCAATCAAATACTTAAATATCTCATAAAGGAATGGTTCAGACTCCAGAAAATATGTTAGTCTCTCCCGAGACCAGCACAGAAATACGCAATTATCATCTGCTGTGATTGTCACCTAAGATAAGTAAAAAGGGGGAAAAAAGTCCCATTACTTTGAAAAAAAAGTAAAGGATCTAGATTCAGTTAAATGTATTTCATAGGAAGATACTGTATGTAATTTCAATAGCCACACATTGACTTTTATATAGTCTAAACTAGATTCACTGTGAAAATAATTTCACAATGTGTTGCTGTTACTCAGTGGCAGACTGGGACTCTAGTCCCAATGGAGAAAGTTACTATAGTTAGGTTTGAGGGCCCACCTGGCAAACACGTCAAATTTTTCAGCATAACTAAAGCCTTTCTCCAACAACAATGCCAATATTTTAGTTGCTGTGACTTATTATAAAATAATTATACTTTGCATTGTATTTGTAACACATTAGTGCAAATATATTTAGACAAATTATTTCATAGGATTCAATTATTGTGATCATTCAACATCCAGGATGCAAATAACAGCTTATTAACAGATGAGTGGAAAATTACATACCCAGTAACTGGTCAAGCATGTGTAGTCATATATGATAAGAATGCCCAGTGATTGGTAAAGCAAGTGTTGCTAAATATGATGAGCAATGGTACAGAGCTGAAATCACTATTATCCTATTCTTCAAGATGTTGACATTAGTTATGTAGAGTTTAGCAATGTTTCTGTGGTAATGACGGAGAATGAGAAAAGGTATTAAGGGTGTCATCAAGCAACTGTCACCAAGTATGAGGAGGATGATGAACAGTGGTACAGAGCTTAAATCACTGCATTACCCAGTCCTCAAGATGATGACATCCTATGTAGACTTAACATGTTTAAAGTAATGTTTAAAGGATAAGGGGGTACCCACAAAAATGTCTGTCAATATCTCTCTCTGTTCAGTAAAATAGGGGATTCCAGTACATCCTGTCCAATCACAGACCTTCACCTACTTTACAAATTTTAACTGTGGGCTGTGGAGGGGGCTGAAGTTGCTGGCTGAGTCTCCCAGCAGCATGCTGAGAGGCTGAGCCAGCTGCTAATCAGGTGTGTGGGTGGATCTTGACATTATTGTTGGGATCCCTGCAGAGCCTGGACTGGCTCTGTGACGTGAACCAACACCATACTTTAGCCCACTGTCGGCTGAATTTGGATCACAGGAGAGCAGAATGAAGTGCACTTCTGTGACCCATGGGATAAATATGGCCAAAAGAGCTTTGGCCATACTTCTTTAATTTTTGGGCAGGTCGTTGGGGCCCACAAGAGGGTTCCCTGATCCAGTCTGCGCCTGCTCTTACTACCCCAGAAGTGTATATTTTTGAGGCAATGCCTAGATACTAAAGCTCTATATAAACAGATACACATATTACAGCACCAGCTATAACCAGTTCATAATTTGACCAAACATTGCACTGAGAATTGGGGATAAAACAGCTGCTTGTTACTCTTGTTAGCTCATACTATCATTGGACTTCGACTTCAAGGCTATACAAAACAACTGATATGAAAAGTTACCTGAAATTTTTCTCCTCTCTCCATTTCTGTCGATCTGAATTCTGGAGAATCTATATAAGCATTGGGATATATGTTATGAAGAAAATGACCTCGATAGGAGACCTTCATCCTGAAATTGATTGAGTAAAAAAAAAAAAAAAACAGAATATTTACAGTATTCCCAAAATGCACTACTGATTTAAAATAAATACCTGGAGCATAGTTTTTGCTGCTGGTTATATACAGATTTCTTTTTAGGCTCTTTAAGGGTGTTTACAATAATATAAATTGAATCTAAATAGGGTACTGTTTGTTACAATAGTAAACTTCTAATTAACCACAACTGACCTACTAACAGCATGGAAAATTCTCAGCATTTTATAGGAAGCCTCATTTATGCTGAAGTTAGCACATAGTTAACACCCAGGGACTTTTTCTCTAGATTTCAACAGAGAACCATAAGGGTTCCATGGTCAACTATTTATCAATTTTTAACAAGTTTATAAACTGGTCTTATATATTTTTTCACTAACTGGATAAAAGCTTTATGTTATAGATACAAATTCATTAGTGCATCCATGACATAAAATTTGCATTATACTGGGGTTTCTATTAAGAACTCCCGATACTGCCTGCTCATTTTGTCAACACCCCACCTAAAAAAGCTATATGGGCTGCAGGTGTAGCAAAGAAGGAGAGAATGCAAAATTGGTGATGAGTAGCTTCCAGTTTATCACCTGTTACCTTTTTCATATTTGGCACTGAACACAGAATATATGTACAAAATACTACAAATTCCTTTTAATCCTTGATGGCAGTGATTTTCTTTTGACAATAGTGAGCAGCATGAGACATACTGGCTATTAATGAATTTCAGCGCCTTTTATATTCTATTAATAAAAAAAAATGTTACATGGGGTGGGCTTATTTAACACTTTATTTGGAGGTGTAAGGATATTGGTACAAAAAAAAAAAAAAAATGTCATAGTCAATGGTTAAGCAGTTTAACTCCTTCCATCCTTTCCCATGTGAACACTAGGTTTGTGAAGGGATAGCAGTCTACTGTATATGTTTGATGCTATTGGGCTGGTGTCTGTCTGGTGGTGGGGATGAATACATTTATTCTTGGGTTAATGTTCCTGGTAATGTCTACATTTTCCTTCAAATCATGGATGTCCCTGATGATACAGATCATCCTTGTAATGGCCCAAAATTCTCTTCTATTAAACCTAGAACACACGATCAGAAAATCGTACAAAAAATACTGCTTTTGGAGCGATTGTACGATAATCTGATCATTGGTACGCAGCTTTTGTCCAAAATTATTGGAACAAGCATGAAAAATGTTCTCCTATGATCCTAGATCATACAATTTTAATTTAATCAGTACAGTTTTCACCCAAAAATACAATACAAATACAATACATGACATCACTTCCGAGTTTTTATTCTGTCCTATGAGAATTTTTATAACTTTAGTAACCTCTTCATAATCGATATGAGACTAGCATGCAAAAAAAAAAATGGATGATCATTCGTCCAATCTTCTGATAGTGTGTACGAGGCTTAACTGTGTAAGAATATATTTCTGTGTTTAGGTGCACAGAAACATTTAGCTTACATTTTTAACAAGGATTAGCTAGTCATCAACAAATAATAGTACCTGGTTAAATTGAGGAATTTACATCTGTTATTAGGAACTATTTACTATGCATACACACCAAAGTCACAGATAAAAGATCAACGATAGATAAGATTAATTCTCTTCCTGGCATGGTTTCAGACTACATATTGAAAACGCTCCAAAAACAATGATTCACGCTGCTGAATATGTGTAGCTGACTAAAAAAAATTGTGGTCTGTTAGACTCCATGCACACTGGCTTAAAAATCGCTGCTTCTACAGGAGTTTTGTGTTTTGCCTGGAAAGCAGTTAAATTTTATGTGTCCATGCACATTAGGACGATTAGAGGCATATTTTTGAACTCAACATTAAGAGGCAGGTAAAAAAAAACCTTTCTGGTTTGCGTTTTTGACTGGAGCAGAAAAAAATTATAAACTCTCCTAAACTGTGTACAAGAATGCTCTATATCAGCATTTGTTTCTGCAAGGGAACTGGCTTTTTTTTTTTTTTTTTTTTTTTTTTTAGGCCAGTGTACGTGGAGCCTTGGTAAACTGAAATACACTCACTGGCCACTTTATTAGGTACACCAGTTATTTGTTTGGTAACACAAATTGCTAATCAGACAATCACATGGCAGCAACTCTATGCATTTAGGCATCTAGACTTGGTAAAGAGGACTTGAAGTTCGTTCAAACGGAGCATCAGAATGGAGAAGAAAGGGGATTTAAGTGACTTTGAACATGGCATGGTTGTTGGTGCCAGACTGCTGGTCTGAGTATTTCAAAAACTGCTGATCTACTGGGATTTTCACGCACGACCATCTCTAAGGTTTACAGAGAACGGTCCGAAAAATAAAAAATATCCAGTGAGAGGCCGTTGTGTGGATGAAAATGCCTTGTTGATGTCAGAGGAGAATTGGCAGACAGGATCGAGATAATAGAAAGGCAACAGTAACTCATATCAATATGGAGAAATATCTCTGAGGAATGTTTCCAGCATCTTGTTGAATCTATGCCACGAAGAATTAAGGCAGTTCTGAAGGCAAAAGGGGGTCTAACCTGGTACTAGCAAGGTGTACCTAATAATGTGGCCAGTGAGTGTATGTTACAGTTTTGTTTTTGGGTTTATTACCATTTTAAACATCACACCTCACGTAACAGAGAATTAAAATAATTATTCAACTGATTGCATTTGTTGTCTAGCCTCAGAAATAACAAGATAAATAAGAAAAAAAAACTACAATCACTAAGGCTTCATTGATATCTAAGCTTTTTGTACCAAAGGCAGAATCGCTAACAATCGCACCTACGTTTAGGTGCCATTGAAAATGAATGGCACCTGAACAAACGTGGTGCGATTTGTCAGTTTTGCAGAGCGTTTTGGGATCGCGAGCAGAATGGCGGCCATTCTGCTTGTGATACAAAATGTCTAGATGTGAACGGAGTCTAAAATGAACACCAGCCAGAGTTGTTTCAAAGAAAGGTTTAACATAATAGTAAAAAGTAACTACATTTTAAAATGAAAAATAGAGCATTTGCTCAGGGTACCGGAAAACTTACTTCCCTTTGAGCAGTATACTTAAGCGGTCATCTACAGATGTTTTATCCTCCACTGCATAGGTCTCTCCCTTTGGTAAGGTCTGAATGCTGCAAAACTGACCAGTGAGTCTCTTAAACAGTTCAGGGGGCACATGAAGAGGCTCAAACATTTTATGATAGATACCTTTCAGCTCCTTTTCAATCTTGATCTAGAAAAGGAAAAATGTAATGTAGCTATTAGATTTGTTTGACAAATTAGTAATGTAATTCATTGTGTGAAGTAGTAAGACTAAGGTTATTGGTATGTGCTAAAAGCCTAGATTAAAAATGCCTGCCATCTGGTCCTAAAAGTCGTATTAAACCCTCAGCAGTTTTTAGCCTAACACATTGAGCACAATACAATAAAATTCCCCGGTAAACTATTTAACATTCTTACCTCCACACATGCAATATACAACTTTCAGTGCTGCTGGCTCCTGCTCTCTGAGTGATTCTTCCCTGAACTTCCTGCTTCACAGAAAAGAGATAACAATGGACAGCACAGTCTCCAGTCAGTCTGTTAGCTTGGAGAAGGGAGAAAGGAAAAGGAGGAAGGAGCAGGGGAGTGCCTTGCCTTCCTAGGCTATAGGGCTGGGTGTTTTTATTTATGCACATAGTGTAGGGAGACTAGTAGTGTACAGTCCCTGCATTCAGTGGTGGCTCCATAGGATGCTGCAAGAGAAAGGAGACACCCTGAAACAGGAAACCTGGGGCAGTGATCATGGCACCAGCTTGAAATGGTTGTAAAGGCTCAAGGTATTTTACCTTCATGCATTCTATGCATGAAGGTAAAAAACCTTCTGTGTACTGCTCCCCCCACTAGCCCCCCTAATAGTCACCTGAGCCCCTCTCGATCCACTGATGTGCAGACGAGCCTCTACTGTCCCAGGGCTCCCTTTCCTCATTGGCTGACACAGCATCAGGAACCACTGGCTCCCACTGCTTTCAATCACAGCCAATGAGGAGACGGGGGGGGGGGGGGGGGGGGGGAAGCCAGAGCTCTTTGTGTGTCTTACAGACTTATAGAGTGGAGCTCTGGAGCGAGTATGCACCAGTTTCCCCATAAGAAGCAGCTTGTTCTTGGGGCACAGGTCACGGGGAAAAAGTGTTGGCGGGGGACCCAAGAAGAAGAGGATCGGGGCTGCTCTGTTCAAAATCATTGCACAGAGCAGGTGAGTATGACATGTTTGTTTTGTCTTGTTTTTTTTAAAAGCCAAACCTTTAAATATCACTTTAAAGTGGAACATAGACATGGATCAAAATATAAAATAGCTGAATACTGTGATTAAGCCAGCTGCTGAAAGTGTTTAAAAATAGGGTTTAATATCACTTTAACATTTCAACACAACCTATGGACCCCAGCCTGTTGGAATAATCCATAGGTTGTGTTGAAATGTTAAAGTGATAATAAACCCTATATCACTTTAACATTTCAACACAACCTATGGACCCCATCCTGTTGGAATAATCCATTTTGCTGGGTACAATGATCCAAGACCAATATCCTTTACTTGCACTGTGCTTAAAAAAAATTGGCTAGCTTGGACGTTTTTGGACATCTTCCTTTAAGTGCAAAGAAAAACAGTAGTTGCCTTTCAGTCACATGCAAGTATTAGCTTGGGGGAAGAAACTTTTTTCTAGATTTTCTAGATCACATGCAAAACTGCAATGCAAACATTAGACACCAAGAAGGACAAAAACATTATCTGTGTTTTCTTACACTGCAAACTTAAAACATGCAATATTTATGTTGGAATGATTTTGAAAAAAAAAAGAGAATGTTGTACTTATAGAACACTATTCTTTCCACTTGATGATAATGTGTGGTGACAGCTACAAAAACTATATCATATTTTTATTAGGTCTACAATATGGTATAGTAAAGCATTATCAGCAACATACTCTATGTATGAAGTCTCACAATTTATTTCTTAGAGTAAGCCTAGGCCTGGACTATGCACACTTGGTGTTTGTATATTCTGAACAATCAGTAAAAGATTTTAAAACAAACCCTTATTCACCTTTGTAGTTATATGCATTGTGTAGAAATGTGTCTTCAAAGTTCACAAAAAAGCACACTTAGGTCCAGTTCAAACCTGAGCAATTTGAAGCACGTTTCCTGAAGCGCTTCAATGCTCAACATTAAGGGTTCATGTAAACTGCAGCTGATAAACTCACATTCAGGAGCATTTCTGTGTTTTTTTTCAGCAGCCCCTGAACTCTCCCTAATGTTTTCCTATGTGTTCATGTACACAGAGTCGTTTACAGTCATTTACAGGCAATTGAGTTTACAGTAGTTTTTTTTGAACGCACCAAACTTGCGTTCAGGAGTAGATTTTATCAGAGTTTCAAACGCCAAATGCTTGTAAATGCGGCTAACCGCGTTTATAAGCATTTGCGTTTAGAAGCGTTTTTTAACTGTTCCATATCCAGATGCTGTCCAGAGCCTTTTTTCATCATCAGAAATGCATGCAAAGTGTTTTCCATGTATTCAAATGGACCCGGTACACCAGTGCAGCCAGTTCCAGGTTTTGCATGAAGGAAAAAATGATAGAAAGTGCCACTTATGCTGCTCTCTCTGCTTCTGCTCTCTCTATTTCTCTCAAAATGTCTGAAATAGTTAATTTTTCACTGTTTTTCAGTGCATTCTGGGCATTTTGGTAGGTCTCCTGAAGTTATCCTAAAAAAATGCTTCTAAATGCAACTGCTCATAAACGCGCATAAATGCAGTATGCAAACGTGGCTAAACAGACATTTTTAACCTACGTTTTCCAGCAGTCAGTTTCCATCATTCAAAAGTGTTTTCCAAACATCCCGTGTACATGGAGCCTAAGATTTCCATTATATTCAAAGTCCGCATTCACACCACACCTAAGTGTTGTGCCACTTTAAGCTTGATGTTCTAAGCTCAAAAAAGTTTATGAGCCTCTAGAAAATTACTGAAACCTGACTTGTAGTGATCTCTGAGTGTCTTTGAAAACAAATTACTTCACATTACAAGCAGCTAAAGAGGTCAGGGATGGCTTGTTAACTTTTAGTGCTTGTTAACAAAATGTAAATACAGTAATTCATTATCCATAGCCTGAACACCGGTGCACTTAATTATACAGGAAAAACACTACACATACTTCCAAAGCATGGTTGTAATGTAAGCCCTGGTTCACAATGAATGCAACTTTGAGGTCATGCTACTTGAAGTAGCACAAGTCCAAAGCTGCAGACCAGTGCAATTTGTACCTTAGATTTCACTTCAGCTTGCAAATTCATTTAACAGAAGTCAATGCAAGTTGCAATGAAATTGGAAAAAAGTAGTGCAGAAACTATTTTTGAAATGACACAAATTCAAATTGCACTGATTAAGACAGTGCCATAGATGCATTAGATGCGATTTCAGGTGCAATTTGTAAATCTGAGGTGGCAAAGGTGTGAACCAGGGATAGATGTATAAATTGCCTAAAGAAAACAAAAAAAGCCCATGAAATAAATGCAAATTGTTAATATAGCACTTGTAAGTGATTCGATTTTCCACACCAGGTTTTAAAAGTCAAAGGGCAGCAACTCAAGCTATTTCAGCTCTTATTTTGTACTTACTGGTCTTTTCTTATATACCAGATATATAAAATGCATAAAATTAATCCCAAGGAAAGTTGCATTCCAAATCATTATATCCAAAGCACAGCGGAAAAGAGTTGCCCAAATGATAAAGAAGGCGCACCCTGTTGAAGACAGTAAATTCAAAACAAAATGAGTGCATACAATAACTCAATAAAGAAGATATAATTTGAATGCACTGGAAATTTCACATCTCATTTACATTATATACTTGCTAATTGTATTTTGACGGGGGTTCTCCAGTAAAGCATTGCAACAAGCAGTGATGAAAATGTGAAGCTACTGAGTAGTTACTCTGTGTTTTGCTATAATCCTATTGTTCACGCTGCATGAGATGCATAAACATTTTCTGGGAGTCTTCCAAGCTGAAGTTAAAATGCTCAGGCGAAACAGTACACAGCAACAGGCAGCAACACTGCAACCTCCCTCTACCGATCTATTTTATTTCTGATTGGCGAAAGCTTTGTAGAGGTCAGAGCTGCTCGTACTTACACTAAAAACAAGTATTTGGTTTCTGTTACAGTAAATGTGTATTTTTTGAACCCCTTCACGCCTTAGGGTAAAACAAATGTTAATGGGCAGAACAGTGGCTAAATGATTAGCAGTTTCACCTGGCAGTACTAGGGTCATTGGTTCAAATCCCAGCCACAGCACCACCTGCCTGGAGTTTGCATTTGCTCTGGAAACTCTGGTTTCCTCCCACACTTCAAAGACATGAGGTAGATTCATTGGCTCCTGTCTAAATTGGCCCTAGTATGTGTATGAATGTGAGTTAGGGACCTTAGTTTGTATGCCCCTTGAGGGTTAGGAACTGATGTCAATATACACTATATATATATGTAAAGCACTTCATAAATTGACAGTGCTATATAAGTACCTGAAATGAAAAATAAATAATAATGCCTAAGCACAGGTTTTTAACTTTGACATGTGTCAGTAAAACCGTGCATATACGGTAACCACAACTGCTTTGTGTATCCAGGCGGATTACACTTTGTTTTTTTCAGGACAAATTGGGCTTTCATTTAGTAGTAAATGGTATTTTTTTCACTATCAAAGGAAAACTATATAAATCCTGTATTATATTAATTATATTAATAATAAAAAAAACTGGCCCAAAATAGTAAAAAAAAAAAAAAAATTAGTTGTATATTTCTTGCTACTACCAAATAACAACCCAAAATATGTTCTCCCACTCCTGAAGATTACAGTGATACCACATATGTGTATGTTAGTTGTTGTTTATACCTGTACTACAGCCCAGAAACAAGAGTGTGCAGTTTGCTTTTTTAATCCTACCTAAAACACACTGACACCTATACAAATTTAAAAATGTTTTTTTTTTTTTGTTAAATCCTGCCCAAAATACACTGACCATGACTTTTGACCCTAACCTTGTTCTTTGACCCAACACTAACCCTGGCACTAACCTAGATCAAACCTTGATAGGTATTTTTTCTCTTTCTTTTTTTTTTTATTCATATTTATATTGTTACACATGGCTATGTTTTTTTATTCTCTGCAAGGAGAGCGAGAGATAAGTGCATCTCTCTCTATTCAGAGAGAGAAAACACAGGGGTTTCACAGTGACTACTGTGATAGCCAATCAGAGGCTATCACAGCGTTCAGGTGACCCAGAACCAGGAGTTAGTACAGGATTCGGGGCTCCAGGTAAGATCCCGGTCTCTGTGATGGGAGCGCGCTGTGCACAAAATTAGATACATATATATGCAGCTCCATGGAAAAAAATGGGGACGCATATATGCGTACTGTTGGTGGGAAGGGGTTAAACAATACAGAACAGTGCATTAGTACATAGCTTGTAGCTTATAAATGCACAACAGTGGTAGGGTTTATAGAAAAATATTGAATAATATACAGTAAATGAGTTTTGCTGCAATAAGTGTATGCATATAACATAGTTGAAGATAAAAATCAGTATGATGTCATTCTGTCACTTGAGAACCATAAACAAAAACTTAGAGCGCTGCTCAAAGCACTGCAAAACCTCCCCAAAACACAGTTCGGGTGCCAACATTCAAACACGCTCATCCAGGCTCGCTGAAACAGATTAGAAGACAGAAGGTGGAAACATTACACACCGAAACCCAGCCACTATACAGCTATACGGTTCAGCCTGAACTCCTACTGGCTACGCTCCTGACATGGTTCGCCCTGCCTACGGGGCTTAAAATGTTACTAAACCCACAACAGTAAAATCAGTCTGCATATGCTGTAAAGCATGCTTGTTATACTCACTGTGGAACCTCCACACAATCCTCTACATTGTGCAAAAACGCTGTTTGATCCTGACTTCTCTGAACCTCCCCTTCCTCTAATGTCCCCCTATCTCTTGATAAGACATATCCTGTGGAGACAGTTTGCACATGCTCAGTTTGGTGTGTATTGCTAGAGAGGTTTTTTTTTTTTTGGAAGAGTGCATGTGATCCTCACAGAGCCAATCAGCACTGTCCAGACAGAGGTCAGAGGTCCTGCATCCTTCTAGAGTAGAAAGAAAACTCCTCCAACAAGCTTTAACATGTGCTTGGATGGACACTGAAAGAAGTCACAAGACTGCTCTAACTGCTGATGAGAAAAGGTATTTAGCAGTTTATATTTACTAAAATAATTGCATATCCATGTTCTGTGTACTGTGGGAGACCAGATATAGTAAATGCAGGGTCCTGGGATTAGTAACACTTTAATCATAGAATCGGGGCAAAACAGAGGAGCATAGCCAGCAGAGTTCAGGCTAAAGCCATATCTTTACCTCTCTATATAGTAGCTGGGTTCTGGAATGTGAAGTTTCCATTGTCTATCTTCTGATCTGATTCTGTTACTTGTATTCTTCTGTATGAACCATTAAAAAGCTACTTACAGTAACATGGGCAGCACAGTGGCTAAAATGGGCAGCACAGTGGCTAAATGGTTAGCACTTCTGCCTGGCAGTACTAGGGTCATTGGTTCAAATCCCAACCACGGCACTACCTGCCTGAAGTTTGCATGTTCTCCCCGTGCCTGCGTGGGTTTCTTCCAGGTACTCCTGTTTCCTCCCACACTCCAAAGACATGCTGGTGGGTTCATTGGCTCCTGTCTAAATTGTCCCTAATATGTGTATGTATGAATGTGTTAGGGACCTTAGATTGTACGCCACTTGAGGGTTAGGGACTGATGTGAATATACAATATATATGTAAAGCACTGCGTAAATTGACGTGCTATATAAGTACCTGAAATAAATAAATACTTAGATATATTGAATGTAATGTGTTCCTTATGGAGTAGAGGGATTGTGTATAGAGATTAAATGGGGGAGGTGGTTATATGGGTAAGGCAGTTAAGGAAAGAAAAATCAGTGAATGTAGGGGGGCAAAGATGCCTATATGGTACTAATGTTTAGGGCAGTATGCAACAAGGGAAAAATGCAGAGGTTATCAATCAGTGAGCTGTAATGATGTGCTGTAACCTCTAGCAACTAATCAGTGAGCCGTGGTGTGTGCTGTAACCTCTAGCAACCAGTCAGTGAGCAGTAACAATGTGCATTAACCTCTAGCAAGTAATCAGTGAGCCGTGGTGTGTGCTGCAACCTCTAGCAACCAGTCAGTGAGCAGTAACAATGTGCATTAACCTCTAGCAAGTAATCAGTGAGCCGTGGTGTGTGCTGTAACCTCTAGCAACCAGTCAGTGAGCAGTAACAATGTGCATTAACCTCTAGCAAGTAATCAGTGAGCCGTGGTGTGTGCTGTAACCTCTAGCAACCAGTCAGTGAGCAGTAACAATGTGCATTAACCTCTAGCAAGTAATCAGTGAGCCGTGGTGTGTGCTGTAACCTCTAGCAACCAGTCAGTGAGCAGTAACAATGTGCATTAACCTCTAGCAAGTAATCAGTGAGCCGTGGTGTGTGCTGTAACCTCTAGCAACCAGTCAGTGAGCAGTAACAATTTGCAGTAACCTCTAGCAAGTAATCAGTGAGCCATGGTGTGTGCTGTACCCTCTAGCAACCAGTCAGTGAGCAGTAATGATATGCTGTAACCTCTGGCAATCAGTCGCAATCTCTGCCTGATCTGCTGCAGTAAACTGATTTTGAGTCTAGCTGCTATTTATTGTTTGTCTCAGAGAAGGTGGAGAGTGAAATTGCATGGGGGGCAAGAAAATGTTTGCTCAGTGTCCAATCAATATTAAAAATGGCCCTGCCCATGACCTATTGATACTGAACTTTTCAATGATCCCCTGCCACTCCTTCCTCTGTAATAGACATTGAAAAATACACGGTGCTTCTGAGTATGAGGAGCATGTGACCTCCTTCCATGATGCCTAGGAACCAGTCATTATAGCCGAACCCTGTCATATGACAGATGAGGTATTGTCACTTCCAAGACCAGGTATTTTGGTGGCAGCTATGACACAGCAAGGTGCGGACGCCATTGCTGGGGAAATCAGTGTCAGTGGGCCAATGAGGGGGTGCTTTACGCAGACACTGTCACCTAACCCTAAATATTTGGAAGTGTTATTTTTTGGGTTTTTTTTTTTGGGGGGGGGTTGCTGTCTATGGCCCTGAACGGAAGGTTCTAATGTCAGCAGAACAGGAAATAAGGGTAAATCTATTTAGATTGTTCATTAGCTATTAATTGCGAGTGTGGGCTATAGATACAATTTAATTTCCTTTCTAATATACAAACGGCATGCATGGTACAACTGTCAATGATTGAATGCATGTAAAAGATATGAAACACCATATATTTCACCACAATCAAAATGATGTGCACATTAATCAATGGGTCAAAACATCAGCGAAAACCATTACCTACAAATAACCAACAACATGAATATGGGAAATATAGTTAAAGTAATCACAAAGTAAAACTTTGGAAAGCACCGTTAGCTCAAATTATATACACCAATTTAATTTCTTTTATAAGTGTAGGGCCGTGCTGATACACAGCAAGGATGCCTAAACGGCCTTCATTATAGATAAGCAGCATTACCAATCACTAAAACCCTGTCAAATATCCTAAATATCAACATAGAAATAGATTTCTAAAGGGCTGTCTGATCTTTGGTTTATATTTTTCAGGCTGCCTACCAAGCCACAAATCTTGTGTCAA